TCAAACCCAGTGTATTTAATGTCTGCTGTTTGTTTGACAAACCTCACAAAGCTCAAGGATTCCAACACATTGACAAGCTATTGTCTCACTATTTCTGGCTGGGCTCTATTATAACTCGTTGTGAGGGGGCTTTAAAACTGCTCATGCCCTTTTCACCTCTGATTCTTTTTATTCCCTTGGCAAATTCTCTCATACTTCTCATCAAATGTTGGACTATTGGTGTAAAAGTTAAAAACAATCAAATCTGCAAAAAGGAATACAATATTGCCATCACCTGACTGCTTTATGCTATTGCATACAATAGACTGTCACTGGTAAGACCTCAAGAATGGGTTACATTCTGTTGTGCCATGGCATTTTAAGTATCTGCTTCTATAAAACTTAACTGATCACTTTTAACTCTTCCCCTGCAGAGTCTTTAAAGGGAGATCACTAAATTCAGATGAGGTGCTGGTTTGTGTGTGTGTTGGTGCGTGCATGCCTCGCATTAATGTGTGTGACAGCTTGGCAAGCAGAGTTGCACTTTATAGTTGAATGCCCCTAAAGCAATATAGACAGGCTAAATCTTCACAGGAGATCTTCACTCCTTTCATCTTCCAACCAAGATCAGAATGTGTGATGACTTAGATCCTTCTATTAAAACCCCCTGACAAGGTGCAGCATCTTAGTATAGTTGGTAAAAAAAAAAAATCCTCTGACCGTGTGCAGATGTATAATGGTAAATGGAAACAGGTGCACATGTGGATACAGAGCCAGAACAGCTGATTGTAAAGACTGATTGCTCTCACTCTCTGCATGAAAGTGAAGAAGTGTTGTGATGAGAGTGGGCTGTAGGGTGAAGCTACTGTTTTTGCCTGTTTATTTCGCCTAAGGGTCGGTCTCTCAGTGTGTTACCAAACAGATACATTATGAATGAACATTCAGCATGACAGTAATAATAAATATGCTTCCTACTCACATCCACCTTCCTACACTCTAACATTTGATTAGCTTGTGAGCGTACATGCTTGAGTGCACATGCCTGTGTGTTTCATTTTTATGGGATGCAAAAAGATGAAGCACATCAAGCATCCATATGTATGAAATGAACCATTTGAACAAAGCTTGACCTGACTTGACTCCAATGTTATTCAATGGCTGACTTCAGTGGTAGACACTACTAAACTCAGGGAACCGTGATTTCTATGATGATGAACTACAATCCTTTAGAGACTGCTGAGTGGTAGGGCTCTAAACACTGATCGTAGACCCACTGAGGTGTTCAATTCCTGAGACAAAAGGAGACAAAAGACCTAATGGATTTATGGGTCTGCTGCCAGAACCACATGACGCCAGAGGCAAAGTGGCCTCAGCACCCACCTGGCTGTCTGGCAGCAGATTCAGGTAATAGCCTGGTCCCGCAAATGTTGTGCAGAAAGGTCAATGCACATTGGGCATCTGGACACATTTGCTCTTGACTTTTGGTGCAGCAATATCCAAGCTTTTTGACAGAACGTTACAAACTTTTATGTTTCTAAAGTGTTTGCTGAATGACATCAGATCCTGTATGTGCGTCACTGTGTAATGGTGCAAGCTGTCCATATTTGTCTGTACTTATATTCACACCTTTATGAATTCCTGTGCATTTACTCAGCCTGCGATACATCCTTCGATGTGAGAAAGGTACAGGCGTGGAAGACAACGTGTTGTTTTGCACAGAAAGAGCTCACTTCCAGCCTAAAGAAATACAGACATGACAGCAGGACATATGTTAATGCTGGGATGTTAGGATTAGCACATTTATATCCATAAGTCTAGCATCTCATTTCCAGGTTGTGATGCATGAGAAAGGATGTGCCCCGACGCTCCCATATTTGTCTCCATCTGAGTCAGTGAAGCATCCTTGTACTGCTGTAGTGGGCACATATGGCCATCTGTAAACTGTAGCTATGTGCACACCAGAAGAAGCAAGTATCTATTTTTAGAGTGAGAGAGTCACATTTTTTAATGAAATAGTCTCAGTCTGCTGTCTTCCAGGCCAATGTGAAAGCCTTTTAATTAGGTAAGTCTCCGAGATCAGCAGAGGGAGCCACAACTCTTATCTAAGACTCCCTTTTCTTTGTGGAGACAAAGCGTGGCTGTCTAACAACCAAAAAGGCAGGCTGCAGCATGACCACCCTCACTCTCTGGACCGGGGCCTTAACAGTCTGAGAGGAGTGCGCACACCCACATATAAAAAAAAAAGAAAGACATATTCAGGAAGACAAGTGCTTCTCTCAAGGTAAATGTATCATCTTTCCAAAGACGTGAAAAGCATTATCTCTTTGTGACTATATTCCCCTCGTATATACATATATACAGGTGTGGTGATTTAATTTTGTGAAGCCACAATGTACAATGAGACTATCCAGAATGTGTTATGGCTTTAGAAGTTTCCTGTAGGAGTCAAACGCAGAAAGGTTTATGTTGAAAACAATACTAATAGTTTTTACAGGAGCTGCTGCTGATGTCTCCTGCTGCCCCTTCGGCTCTTTGTTTTTCATCAAAGCCTGTTACGTCTGGGAGGTCTCAGTGGGCTTCAATGATGGGCCTCCTTCTGTCTGACATACTGTTTGCCCACAAGAGGAAGAGGGAGTTATAAGATTTATATACCACTCCGTTTACAGCCCAAATATGACAGATGAAAGAGGGGGGGAAACTCAATATCTGAGAGATGAAATATGATAAAAATAATACAGCTTTGCTTTGATGTGCTGCATTTACCGTGGATCTGTGTCCCACCATGCCCTGACACACACCAACACACTGCACACACACACACACACACACACACACACACACACACACTTGCAAGCCATAGTTGTATGTGACATGAGTAATACATCAGAACACCTGAGGGAGTATCTATATATCCTGCTGGTGGTGTACTGTGTCTATTGTAAAGAGCTCTATCACTACTTCAGCATTCTGTCTGCAGGGTGGTTTGTGTATTAAAACCTGCCTTCAGCGCATCACTGGTGTACTTTTAAATCAATAAGAAAACATTTACAGTATTGCTATCTCTTTGAGTGGTGAATGGTGTGAGTAAGTGCAGCCAAATTCAATGCACAGTAGAATTTCTAGAGATTAAATTGAGTGCTCCTTTGGACTGGGGCTGGTCTTATAGTAACTCACGGAGGAGGATAATTTAGCTCAGAGTGGGGTAATCTGAGGACAGGAGAATGGTTAGGAGATTGAATACAGTTTCGGGCCTTGCTTTGACACATGAAATATTGTCCAGAACACGTACCACATGTAGAGAAAGTGAAGTTATGTGCATATGTTACAGTTATAAGATGATGCAATATTTCAAAGTGTGCTGCAGTTACACCAAACAGAACCCGCTGTGTTTGTTTACATGTGTGTGAGTGGTTAGGGTTCATTTGTGTGATAGGGATTGCATCTCTGCAGATGGCTCAAGGAAACCCCTGGTCTCTCCACCTCTTTGCTGGGTAAAAAACAGTCTGTCCTCTGTCAAGGTTTAGTGCAGCAAGATATTTTTCTGCCCCCCCCCCCCTGATTCCTCCTCAGCCTCTCTCTCCCTAATGAAATAATGAAATTGCTCACTCTCCTCCTCTCTCTCCTCCTCTCTCTCCTGCTGTCCTGCGTGAGTTGACACTTGGCCAGATTCTTTGGTGCAGTAGACTAGCTGAGTCATAAAGGTTTCAGTGCGCCCTGATTTATGGACAGTGATGTGGATGTGGGTGAGGCAGCAGGAAAAGCGCCAGTGTCAGCTCACTGATCACAAAGAGACTATAGGCACATCAGGCCAGACACAACCTGCTGACTTAAGATAAAGACAAAAACGCCACTGTGACTCATTTCTTACCTAAACTGTGGTTTTGCAAAGTCAAGAGAAATTTAATGAGGGTTTATTGACAGGTCATGTTGAAAATGTGAAGCGTAATACTGTCTGATAGACTGTGTTTCTTGTTTTTTTTCATGCATTTGGTTTTCAAAGTTTGGCTTGGTGTATTTTTGCTGAAAGAACCTTAAATAATCCAGACTTGCTGACTTTACTGGTTTGCAGCAGCACTCCTTTCCAGTGCATTTAGGACTGATTCATCAATATGGATAGAACCAAGGGCTCTTTGGCAGCCATCTATGGGCTTTTTCCATTAACCGCCATTAAGATTCTGGTGAGAAAGGAACATTCTGAAAGAAATTAGCACGTAAAACTATGTATCCATGCTTGTGAAAGATAGTCACAGAGCTTGGACATTAAATATAATTTTCTGCGAATATGTTCATTTGTGACACTTCATTGCAACGGTTTCTGTTAAAGATTACAAATGAAAAGCTTGTTCTGGGTTGAAAAGGCTTCAAGGCTTTATTAGAGTTCAATGCAGCACATCATGGATTTAAAGCAGTAAGTGAGGACTTAAGGCATTTCAAACTGGGTATTGCACAGAGAGTCTGCAGGCATGTATTGGTGACTGTAAAGCACACAGGTGTTAGGGTTGCAAACAAATCTCCTCAAAGCAGAATTTCTAACTCAGACACTCACATCTCACATACTATCTGATTAGTTTTTATAATGTTACATTTCTTTGCTGTAGTTTGCACACATGCTGTTGGTCATTCAAGTTGTTCATACGGAGAATTTGTTCACCAAAATGTTTTTTTTGGGGTTTGAATTTGAGATATATTTGTACATATAGAGCACCAGCAAAGACATCCTTCAGCTACAATTCCAGCACGTATTTTTAAAGCATTTAAATTTTAACTTTTTCATCTGTTGTTTTTCCATTTTTCTCTTCGGCCTCCACGTCTTCTTGTTTTTTTGTTTCCTCCTCCTCCTTCTCACCCTCTTCATCACCCTCTTCCTCTTTCTGCTCAGCATCCTCCTCTTCTTGAGGTTGGATCTCTTCTCCTCCTTCCTCCTCATCTTCTTCTCCATCCGCTGCCTCACCTTCTTTATTTAAAAAACCATGTGAGGGGAGAAAAAAGTTAAAATGAATTTGCTACTACACATATGCGCAAATAAATTAAACACACTAACCTTCTCCATCTGCTTCTTCTCCCTCTTCTTGTTTTTCCTCCTCCTCTACTTCCGCCTCCTCCTCCTCTTTCTCTTCATCCCCCTCTTCTCCCTGATCTTCCTCTGCTTCCTCCTCCTTCTCTTCTTTCTGCTCTTCCTCTGCTTCCTCCTCTTTCTCCTCCTCTTCCACCTGTTCTACCTCCTCCTCCTCTTCCTCCTCGTGAGGAGGGCTGGCCTCAGCCTGCTGTGCTTGGCTTGCGGATATTGTCTCCTCTGTGGAGAGTGATGAAGTATAGAAGCGGGAGCTCATCAGGTATGGAGCTGCAGAGCTCAGCTGAGACTGCACGGAGAACTTTGTTCTTCCGTAGGATGGAGCAGCGTACATGGCTTGGGAGTAAACATTGAAGGACCCTGGTCCAGTCACATTTAGACGGTTCTCCTCTCCCTCAAGGAGGTTCCTAACAGAATAGGGAAAATATGACATCATATAAATGAGAGGCAGAAATATTGATGGTATTAATTTGAATTACAACACAATTTTAAAAAACTGTAACGTGTATAATACTTGTACCTGTAGGCTGCAATCTCAATATCCAAGGCCATCTTCACGTTCAAGAGGTCCTGATAATCTTTCAAGTAGCGAGCCATGTCATTCTTGTTTCCTCGCAAATCTTCCTCCAGTTGACTTATTGTATCCTGTATAGAAAAGTGACATGTGAGTGGAACACTATGGGCTGGAAGCATATTGCGTCTCTTAATCTTCGGGGTATCACTGTGTGCTCTATAAGTGGTCACACTGGCAGTAAGACTCATCTCTATTGCAAAAATAAATTCACTGAAATCATTTCATTATGGAAATAGTGTCTTCTGGGCTTTTTCTGTTACTCACCTGCAATGCAGAGATCTCAGCACTCTGTTTCTCCTCCACATCCTGTAGTTGGTTTTCAAGAGCTTGATTCATCTCACGACCGGCATCGATTTCCATCATCCTAGCTTTGAGAAGCCGGCGGTATTCTCCAGCCTCATCTTTGGCATTACGTGCACTCTCTGTGTTGCGAGAAGTGCCCACTGTCATCACATTCACCTTGTTGCAGAACCATTCCTCAGCGGACTGAAGGTTGTGATGTGCCACCTTCTCATACTGAACACGGATGTCACGGAGAGCAGCAGATAGGTCAGGTTTGGCGACCTCCATCTCCACTGACATCTCTGCGCTGTACTGTATTTGGGCCTGCAGCTCTGCAATCTCACTCTCGCAAAGGCGCTTTAGGAAGGCCAGCTCATCCAGCAGGGTCCCAACTCTTTTCTCCAGCTCAGCCTGGCCCAGTGTAGCCTCATCTGTTTCCTTTCTAGCATCCATGAGCCTGCCCTCTGATTCCTCTCTGCCAAGCACTTCGTCCTCGTAGCGTTTTTGCAGCTTACTAAACACGTCCTCCATCTCATCCCTGTGGTCCTGGGCTGCTTGCTTCTCATGGTGGGCCTCATCTACAGCAGCACGGAGCTGGCGGATCTCATGCTCATACAGGGCCCGAAGGTTGGATGGCTCCGTGTGCCTCTGCCTGAGCAGCAGAAGTTGAGTCTCCAACAACTTGTTTTGCTGTTCCAGTTCATGGACCCTCTCAATGAAGCTCACAAAACGGTCATTCAGGTCCTGCAGCTCAGCCTTCTCCTGGGTCCTAAGTACTTTGAACTCAGAGCTAACCTGGGCTGCTTGGTCAAGGCGAAGCTCGGTGACAGCTGCAGACACTGGAGCAGAAAGCACAGAGGAGTAGCTGGAAAAGGCTCGGTTGTGTGTTGGATAACTTCTGCGTAAAGATGCATAGGAAGCTATTGGGGCAGCGTGGCTGGAGTAGGCAGACCTAGATCCTATTCCTCCTCCAGCTCCATATCCTGCACTGCGCACAACTACCCTCCTCTTGTTAGTAGAAGGGAAGTAAGGACCAATGCCGGTGGAAGTCATGACTTGAGAAACGGCCTGCTCTATGCCTAGGAATGTAGCTGGGTTGACTGCACAGTGAATCTGCATTACACTGGCTTTTATAGATCCAGTAATGACTGTGACGTAAGCTATTTTTTGCAAGCATGCTGACAGAAGGAATTGATAATGGTGCCAGCTAGCCAGTCTCAGCCAAGAGAGAGATGGGGTGGGGTGACTGAGGATGAGTGTGGGGGATGGCGGAGGCGGGGATAAGCTGTGGAGCAACAGGGGACTGCAACAGACAGGGTCACTGAGGACAAAACAGTATACACTGTTACTCCTAAAAACTGCGGAAGTTCTCACAATTTGCCACAATAAATCCTGACAAAGATATAATGTATCTGTTATGACACTGTACAAACTCTTGAAATACTGCCAGATGGAAGAGAGGAGGAAACGCCTGCTTCGTTTTGCACCAAATGTCTGCTGTGTGTTAGAAAGAATATTAATAACAATATAACTATGATTAAATGTCACAGCAAGCCAATGCAAGCAAATCAGCTAAATACCAAACTTGGTAAATCCTGTGATTAAATAAATACCACCTCAATCATAGAGAAATATTTTTACTGGATTATAAATTAAAAGTTTGCCCTCTAGTGGTTATTATTTTACCATACAGGTTACACATTACACATGCTGACTATAAATGTATAAAGCAGAATGTATCATTTCTGATGTATAGGAAATCATTCCCAGCTACCTGGTTATTCCTTGATTCAGCTCATATGAATTGCACGTATATATATATATATATATATATATCAGAGACTATAGGTTGTGCCCTGCTGTAGCAATAGTGCAGGCTATTGAATATGTTGTTGCATAATTGAAAATTAAAAAAAACAAAATAGCCTTGACATTATGCTGCAAGGTGTCTTTTTTGGTATCTCCACAAAGGACTACAGGCTAATATATGTACTTTAAGATACGTTTTAACGATTTTGACAGGTTTGAAAACGTGTTTTTAAAATTATCAAAATGTACAGATCTATTTAAGTTTGATAATTACCTTGGTGTTCTTTTTTCTTTATTTCAATTAGCAATTTCAAAGCATTTACCTTTGTGGTAAATGTAATTTTAGTGCTATCAGTATTGGGACTGTGGTTTCATCCAATAACATAACATATGATTGGTCACATGCATACACCCACAGCGTATTGACCAATGAGGGGCGACCTTACTAATCGGCGGGTAGCAAATCGCATGCTGTGACGCAAACATTCGTAACGTTAACAACAACAAAGGATGAAGAATAAATGAAGTTCCAAACTTGCTTTGTGCTCGTTTGTGACACATGTCCACATGTGACAGCAGTGTTTTTTTAGATTTTGCTGCCTTGTTGTAGAAGTAGCAACGATACAAATGCGGTTAAAACGGGAATGAACGGTAAGTCGCTTTGCAAGTGATGGACACCCGGTAAAACAATAACGTTAGCTCACGTTAGCTCACATAATGTGTCTGCTAATGTCAGCCATCTCTAGCGGTTAGCTTAGACTAATTTGAGCTGTTAGCAGTTGAATTCGCTAACGTTAGCCAGAGAGGAGATTATATTTGCCAGCTGGTCTGTGGCGTTGTGTTCACCAGTGAAGCTTTACAATGTTAACGTCGCTTGCTCGGGACAAACTGCAGCAATTCCATACAGCAGAGCTAAGCTAACCATGCTAAGTTTTGAGCATTTTGGTGAGGTTAGCGTTAGCTAAGTTAGTCGGTCCCAAGCCCTTCTCGATCAGCAATTGTGTCGAGCGATATCAGTTGACTACAGCAGGTTGCATTGATCTTGTCTTTGTCGAGTTGGGGTTTATTTAGTCAGAAGCTGTCACACACACTGAATACTACTCAAAATGAATGAATGAATATTATAGTGGCCTTCGACTAGAATTGGTAAATAAAAGACTGTGGAGCAAGTCTTTGTGGGTCTGCTGACGGGACATGCAACTAAATGCTTTTTTCACGTAACGTTGCTTTATTTTTTTGCTGAATTGTTGTCTTGCCTGCTTCTATCTTCTTCCTTTTGTTTGGTTTCCATACATTTCTATAGATCCAATCAAAAGCTACAAACCGTGAAGGTGGAAGCTCTGCTTGCCAAGTATTAAAATGGTAAGGCTGTAAATCATTGAGTGTATCCTCTGTAGCTGTTTTGTTACAAACTCCCCCTCACAAGTTATATATCTGCCTCTTCTTCTGTGTTCTTTACAGATTCGCATAGCAGCACTGAACGCTGCTTCGACAGCTGCAGATGAGTCTCAAGACCCCTTGAGAAGTAGCAAGAGTCGGACAAAAGAGGCTCAGGTACTGACAGTATGCAGATGAATCGGCAAGATTAGGCCTATCTGCTGATGCAGACGTTGTTTTGTCTCTAGAGATATAAATAACTTGTCTCATTTTTCTTCTATTTCCGTCTGCAGGAAGCTGAGGCGTTTGCTTTGTATCACAAAGCTTTAGATCTGCAAAAACATGACAAGTTTGTGGAATCTGCCCAGGCCTATCATGAGCTTCTCAAGACTCCACTGCTCAAAGAGGTAAAATATCTCACAGTGTACTGTCCTGGTAATGCTCTCACACAATCGCATTAACACACCCCGTTTAGTCATCGAGGACTGCCGCTTGTTTTGGTGTAGACCGAATTCTGCATGATATCCAGAAATGGCACGGATTTATGATGTGAAAAACCCTAAATAAAGCTTGATGAGTAACTTGTTTGGTTCTTGGTGACACTGTTGGATATGTTCATTTGTTATCAGTTTTCTGCTCTTGGTAAGCTTTCCTTCATATTACTTGAGGTCTTAAGGTGAACACTGTGTTTGGTTCCAAATTTAAATGTATCCTATTTTAGGCCATGCCCTCGGATGATCAGAAAGTGGGTCTCAAGCATCCCGGACTGATGTTGAAATATTCTACTTTTAAAAACTTGGCCACTATGGCTGCATTGCGGGACGATCTGGAGACTGCTATGGAGTTTTATTTGGAGGTAAAACAAGTTTAAGTTTAATCATTGTTGACATTTCACTGCTTTATGTTACTCAATGCTTCATTTTGACTCTGGTGAGTGTGTTCACACCACATATCTGCTCTGTTCTTTTCGCAGGCAGTGATGTTGGATTCCACTGATGTGAACATGTGGTACAAAATTGGTCTGGTGGCTGTGCGACTGGTGCGCGTTCCTCTGGCCCGACATGCCTTCGAGGAGGGATTGCACTGTAACCCAGACCACTGGCCCTGCCTGGACAACCTCATAACTATTCTCTACACACTCAGTGACTACACCTGTATGTAATCCATCATCATAAGCTCTTCGCTCTATATCCTCTCTCATTACCAACGCAGAAGCTCAAGTATAAATAGATCACTAACTATCATCTACATACGTTTTCCAGGCTGTTTGTACTTCATCGCTAAAGCATTAGAGAGGGATCATTGTTACACCAAAGGCCTGGTGTTGAAGGAGAAAATCTTTAAGGAGCAGCCCTGTCTAAAGAGGGACACAATGCAGATGTTCATGAAATGGTGAAGCCAGCTCACTTTTCTTTATTCCTCCATTTGTTAATATGCTCTAGCTGCAGCGCTATACTTTCACATCACTGACAAACTTCTGTGGTGTGGGTCATTTGCAGTGATGTGTCTATTCACTATGTGGAAGTGGAGATGGAGGAAAGCAAATCCATTGTGGAGGAGGCACTGGAGTTACGGAAGCGCAGACAGGCTCTCTCTCCCTCTGAGCCCAAACCTGACCTTGTCCTGGTTCAGCCCATCCGCTGCCTCTCGTGAGTTATTTTAAATGTTCTTGTCACATTTGAGCTTATGTTATTTGTCTTTCCTAGGATAGACCAATTATTTCTTATAATAATAATAATAATAATAATAATAATAATAATAATAATAAAGCTAGAGAATGCAGAAACGGGGTATATTTAACTTAAATTCTTGGTTGAGCTCCACTGACATCAAAGTAAGCAATTTTGTGAACCTTTTTGTGAACTGTTTTGAGGGTCCTAATATCTAGTTTTGCCCAATATTTGTCTCCTGTGAAGCTGTGACCTCCTTTTTCCAAGACAAGTTGAGCTAATATTAATCAACTGTTGTATCTCAGATGGAAGCACGTGGGTGAGAGCCTTCTGGCAATGTACAGACATCAGACCACATGTGAGCCACCTCGCCCGAGTCTCGGCCGCAGAATTGATTTGTCGGAGTACCGTGACCCAAACTTTCTCCAGAACCTCCCCCAACCCAGCAGCCCCGTCAGTATGGTTCAGACCACCGTGCTGAGCAGCAGCCCGAGCTCGTCCCTGCCACCAATGGCCCTCCCTGAGCCAGTAGTGCTGCCCCAACCCAGCACTCAGATTGCCCCAGCCCAGACCACTGTGGAGGTCACCACTTCTGCCCCACCTGTCGGTAAGTTGTTTATAAAGAGGAATCTCGTTTTGATCCACTGTATAGCTAATATTCTATGTGTTTTTTGTTTTTGTTTTTTTTATCCTACTGTATGTTCACAGTGACAGCAATAGAAGTTTCACTGATGGATAAAGTGAAGAAAGCTCCGAAAAGGAAACGAGTTGTAGAAGACAGTGGGGAGACAGCCAAGCGGCGCTCCGCTCGTGTTCGAAACACAAAATGCAAGAAGGAAGAGAAGATTGATTTTCAGGAGCTGCTTTTTAAATACCTGCCTTCCAGGTATCTTAACCCTAAACCAAATATACAATGCATAAATACCTCCTTATAGTTTTTGTTGGTTAAAAACAATTTTTGCTTGTTTTCCTTAGGCTGAAGAAGTTTGATCCTGATGATGAGAGTTTGAGTAATCTCGACGCTCCGTGTGATAGGAAGGAGGACATGCAGCCTCTACATGGGAGTTGCCTCCCTGCTGACTCGGTTGAATACATGGAATCTGGTATGTGGTGCATTTTGGATATGTATTTAAAATACACTGTTGTGCCATATTGCTGTATTTATCATGATATAGGTCATTTCCTTATCTCAGTGACAATATCCCTATATAGCATGTTTTCTGGGAATTCAATGAATAGTTTATGTGCTTGTTATACTCAATTTAGACAATAATTGTGTAACATGATATATCTGGATGTATGATTTCATCACGATAAGTTTCCATTGACAAAAACAATAAATCATCTTATTGAATTATTGCCCCGCCCTATTAACAAGCTGTGCTTTCCCTTCTATAGAGCAACAGGATGTCCACAGCTTCCTGCTCAATAATATGACCAATGGTGGTTTACTGGACGTGATGATGCGCTATCTTAAAGCCGTGGGTCAGAAGTTCACGGGGGAGTGGCCTCGGGGGCTGACTGCTGTGGTGCTGGAGGTCCATCAGACCTGGAGGAAGCACAGCAGTGGTCTTCCTAACCCTCTGCTTCGGGACTGCAGCAACCAACACATCCGGGTAAATGACAAGAAAACCGGTTAAATACTTCAACTTCAACTTTATTAGTTAAATAAAGATCGTTTTAAATGGGTGAGACCATTTTGGAATGTCTGCATACTCCAGAGTCTATAGAGGTTTAAATCTTCTTGAATTGGAACCAGTGACATAACTACAGTTTTGTTTTTTTTAAGTCAAAATTGGCTATATATTTTGCACCCACAATAACCTCTGATAATCTATATCTGCTACATGTACAGGAAATGTTGGCAATGAGCTTGGCGTGTATGGAGTTGCAGTTGGAGCAATGGATACACAACAAAGGGAAGACTGGTAAGTACCAGTTAGCTAACCCTCATCCTCTCTGATGCATTACAGTGCTGGACTGCAGTGCGTTGAAGTAACCGTATTCAGCCGGGCTACAATGTCTGTTATTTTTACATGTCATATCTCAAGCACTACTGACTAAAGTTTTAACAAAAATGAATGTTATGATGGCGTTTTGCATTACAAAAATGAACTGACTGGCCTAAAGGGGGCACTGCGATGTCAGTTTTAAACATGATTTGCTAAGTATTGGAAAGTCGTATGGGGGGGGGGGGGACAACGTGCTTACTCTTGGCTTCTTCTATATATTTCCTTGTCTAGTGTCTCCAAGAAGAAGCAGCAGCATTTGTCCCAGCAGTGATGCAGCTGACTCCGAATTCCCTGGGCAGCACTTCCAGAGTGATTTGTTACTTTTGGCCTTAGGTTCATCCCAAAGAGACCTGTTTGAGGATGACTGGCTGGATGTTATGGTGCGCGTCTACTGGCTCAAGGCCCGGTTCTTGGCCCTGCAGGTAAAGTCTATTGTTTGTTGTTTATTTTTGCTTTAACTTTTGATCACATGAGTCCTTTTCCCCCCTCAGCTCAGCCAGATGTGACTTGTAAGACTGTTTTTCTTGTCTTTTGTCAGGGAGACATGGAGTTGGCCCTGGAGAGCTACGATGTCTGTGTTGGCCTGTTGCAGAGCAAACCAAAGACTTCTGAAGGCAAACATTACACCATCAGCCTGCCTAACCTTCGTGTAGATGCAGCAATCTCTGTGGAGGAGGTCCGTGTGCTGGCTGATGAAACATTTTTAGTTAGTCAATTGAACGAGTTATAAAAAAATGAAAATCTTGCCAGTCAGCAGTTAAGATACTTCCAACTGTTTTGATTGTTTCTTTTGTTTGTCTCTGTTTTTCTCCCCATGGACAGATTGACAAGAGGCTGAAGTCTCTGGAGCGTTGTCAGTCTTTGGAGGAGATCCAGCGTCTCTTCGAGTCTGCTGACTTTCACTCTGTTGTGCGCCTGCTGCAGCCCACTCTTAATTACGGCAACCGGAGTAAACCTTTGGAGTTTGTGAGCTCAGCGCCAGAGCGGCCTGCTCAGCTGATGCTACTGCAGGTTGGATGTGCCACAACAATATTGACTGAACCTATGGATCTCTTGAAATGTGTTAATATTGACACTTCTTCATTGAATTTGGTCTCTCTCTCTCTCTGGCCTAGAACGCGCTGTTGAAGCTGCAGGACTACCAGCAATGTTTTGAGTGCAGCGAGTTGGCTCTGAATGAAGCCCTGCAGCAGCTCAACTCTGCTCCAAACAACTCTCCTCCTAGTAAGGAGGAGTGGGTCAGTACTATTGGAAAGTTGCTGGATGGCACCGAGATCTGCTTCATCAAAAACTCTGAGCTTCTAAGCAATGTCCCCCACTTCTCTAGTATGGCTCGACTAGCAAACAATCTAATTCAGGTAAGAAGGGAGCCGAAGAAAACTTTCAGTTTCCTAATACATGTGTTAATGTGACACTTTGATCAGAAACTGATCTGATTCATTCATTGTGTTGCTGTTTTTCGTATTATCAGCTGATTGATCTGAGCATGAACATTTCGGACGATCCCAAGGAGCCTTATTTCTTCTCGGTTCTGCCTTGGATCGTCCTGTATCGCGTTATCAAACACGAGGAGGCTGCTTTTAACTGTATGCTTCGACAGCATATATCTGTAGGGGATGATGAAGGTTTGTTGACTTCTTGTTTTCGTGCCTCTGGGTTTCCCTTGGTGTTTATGCCATGGCAGTTGTCACACCGAATGACTCTTTCGAGTCTTTTTCAGATGACTCAGACACTCCCATGCTGCCCTCCTCCCTGATGCTTCTGAACACAGCCCATGAGTATCTCGGCCGTCGCTCCTTGTGCTGCAACTCGGACGGCGCACTCCTCAAGTTCTATGTAAGTCTGTTTGTAGACTCTTCTCTGCCTGTACTCTATTCTGACTGAATATAAATAAGCAGATTGCATATTTGCCTTTTTTATTTGTGTTACTGTAGCTTAATGCATTTGTGTTAACAATTTGAGCAGTTTGACGGAGCTTTATTCTTATGTTCGTTACAGGTTCAAGTTTTGAAAAAGGAGGTCGCAGCCTCTTCCAACAGTGACTCTCATCCCTACAAAGAGGAGTTGGAGATGGCCTTGGAACAGTGCTTTTTCTGCCTCTATGGCTACCCCAGTAAGAAGAGCAAGTCCCGCTACCTTGAGGACCACTCGTCTCCACAGGTCACTCACTCGCATGATTCTAAACGTCTCTCTGTTCATGTCTTTGAATTCATCTATTGTAATTAGGATGGCTGCTCAATTAATCAAATATTAATCGCGTAGCACGCGATCGACTGTGAACGCGTGCTACGCTCACAGAAAACTCACTTGTGGGAAGCGGTCATGCGACGTACCTTACAGCATCAGCCTGTAAAAAAACTAACGTGAATGTGAGCCGGCAGTCCAGAGTAGAAGAGTAATATACTGTATATTGTTTTTTAACCGTATTTTAAAATATTTGTCCATTAGCAGGAATGTAGCACAACAAGGAAGTGAAAGCAGTGCTCTATTGATTTAACTGTGAAAGTGCAATGAAAGTAATTTGTCCCTAAAATAAATAAATAATCACGATCTCAATGTTGATAAACAATAATCATGATTATCTTTTTGGCCATAATTGTGCAGCCCGAGTAATTCGTTTCATGAACTTGAGGTGACTGCTGCTCGGAAGTTAATCAATTTAGTTACATACCGCAAAAGTCAATCTCAGCTATGCTTGCGTGACCCTTATTTTTATTTATTTTTTTTTTTTTAACCAATATATATTATGTAATCTAAAATGTGAAACAAACAAGAACACTCCAGTGTGGCAGAGCTGCTATTTAGATAATAGCCAAAGGGTGTTGAAGAGGCGGTGAAATAGTGAGGAGGTGGTGAAAATGGCTCAAGGCTTTGACTAATTGGTATGATTTCTCACAACTGCCAATGACGCAAACATGTGCCCTCATTGACCCGCACACAACGCAGAGCTCTGCTTCATCCATTAGTGCTGTTATGTGGGCTCGTAAGGTACGCACGTCTGGTGTCATCAAATTAAAATTGAGGCGGTGAAATGGCATTAACGGCATAATGCCATAAATTCACTGAGTAAGAAATGTGAACGCGTTTAGATCAACCGCAAACAACATACAGGCACAATCGCATCTGCTGCACCTCACTTACTGTTGTCCACTGCTGTCTCCACCTATTCAAGCTGATTTTAAGATACAAACATGTTTAGCTAATCTAGCCTTGTGAATAGCTAAATTCTATCTAAATTTAAAAGATATCATAACTCTGATGATATCCTGAGATTGTAACCACTGGAGTGACTCATGACACTGTGAATCTTGGTTGAGCCCCTGGTCGCTTGTATTTTTGTAGTGCATGTGTCCAGCCACCAGGTGGGTGTCATTTCAACAGTTGAGTATCGGTGCATGTAGAGGACTGACTGTAATTATGCAAACACAGTGCAAGAAGACAGTCCCCAGGAGATCTTGATACCACTCATTTGCTCTGGTGCTGTACAGTGGACTGTGACACCAATGTTTCCTATGGAATCATTCTGTGTTTTGCAGGTTGAGCTGCTGTGGTGTGATGCCCTCTTCATCTTCCAGTATTTCAAACCAAAGTCACTGCCGGAGTTTGACAGCTACAAGACGAGCACAGTGTCTGCAGAATTGGCCAATCTGCTGAGGAGGTTTGCTGGCATCGCCCCCACAAGTGACACCCCCACTCTCACCATGGATGAAGTGGCAGCCTACATTGAGGGCATGACAGAAAAGGTCAGTTGTTAGGCCCACACTGAATGTGAGGAAGAGCAGTGACTCAGACTTCCTAAATAGTTTTTGTCACTCTCTTAACTTCATTTGCAGGTTTGTCACAGAGAATCGTGATGTATTAAAGAATGATTTTATTTTGATCCCTTTAAGGCCCCATGCCTTCCTGAGGGTAGTGCTCCTGCACCTCCGATCATCAATGAGATCTACTACCTGCTGGCTGATTACCATTTCAAGAACAAGGAGCAGTCTAAAGCCATCAAGTTCTATATGCATGACATATGCGTGTGTCCCGACAGGTAGCTCATTGCTCTGCACTAGTGTCAATGATTATTCACATTACAAAATGTCTATTTATGTTATGAATATTAGTAAATACATGTGAATGTGTAGGGTTTGTCATGTTGCATTTTGCCGTGATACATCAAGTGCAGTGACTTTACTCGGAACATGAATCTTTCCTCAGGTTTGACTCCTGGGCAGGTATGGCTTTAGCGAGGGCCAGTCGTATTCAGGAAAAGCTCAACTCCAATGAGCTGAAAAGTGACGTTCCTATCTGGAAGCACTCCCAGGCTGTGCTTAACTGCTTTAAGAGGGCCCTGGTAATAGACAGCTCCAACCTGTCTCTGTGGATCGAGTACGGTACTATTTCATACGCGCTGCACACATTTGCTTCAAGGCAGCTCAAGCAGTGGCGCAACGAGCTCCCCCCAGAGGTGGTGAAACAGGTGAGGTCCATGGTAACAAAGTTATCTTGGTGCTAATCTGTATTCCCTGTCAGTTCATGTTATGTCCACTTTGTGTCAAACTTTCCACGTGTGAGCTAAACGGATGTCGCATCCATCCTGTCACTTTTGCTTGTTCCACTTGTTGTAAATTGATCGATCGCCTTGAGCTAAATTACTCATGAAGGTTCCTGTGTGTGTGTTGTTGTTGTTGTTGTTGTTGTTGTTGTTGTTGTTGTTTCAGATGGTAGAAAGGAGAGACTCCATGTTGGAGACAGCGTTCCAGTGTTTCCAGGGAGCTTCCCGTTGTGAGGGTGACAGTGATGAAGAGGAGTGGCTCATTCACTACATGCTCGGGAAGATCTCGGAGAAACGCAAACAGCCTCCTGTGGAATATCTGCAGCTTTACAAAAAGGTAAACAATTTCAGTTTTACCTGAATCTCTAATTTATGTTTAATGATGAACTTAATTATTGAGATGTTTATTTACTCTGGTATGAGATAAAATGTGTCAAAAAAAATAAAGTGAAGTATTTTAAGACCCCCGTGGCTGAGCTGGCAGTTTGCAGCTCACGATGCTAACAACGCTAACAGTGCAAACGACTCCAACAGCAAACTTATCAGCTGTAACCGCCGTATGAGCGCAGTGCAGAGATGCTGCCATGAGCTAGCCAGTGGGGCAGCTTTGCATGCACTAATATACTATATACAGTATATGAATGCTCTGAATATCGGATAGAGAACATTTTAAAGGATCCTGATAACTGATTTTAGAATTGTAGTAGGATGCTGCTCTCTCACTGGGCAAATACAGAAATCTCGGGTTCTTTAAGCTTAAAAGGTGATTTCCAACACTTCTTCTATCACCAAAATACACTCTGCATACACCAGCATACAGTGTCTGTGATTTTCAAATGAAAGTCTTGATTTAACAACCTGTACTTTTTTTCCATAATGAGAAACATATTTCTAAGTACTTCAGTTTAATGGACAATAATAATTTATAGAAGTCAGTGAGGGAAGTAGAGAACATTTTATATGATGGTAAAAACCAGCAGAAATAATAACCGTACTAGAAGGAAATAAAAGAAAGAATAATCCTTCGGTTGATTGCAGACAGTTCTCTTGCTCTCCCAGGAGTTGTTTCATAACCCGCCTACAGAAACAAAGATCGCTGCCCTTCCGCCCTCGCAAGATGTTTTTTTTCTGAGAGAACAATGTATGGAGTTAGTCATCGGTCTGTTGTTCTGATTAGATCATTGGAGGCAGATGAACCTGTATGATATTAATGTCCTGGAGGTCAGCAGAGGATGAGTGGGGCAGTTTGAACAACGTGAACCCTGATGTCCGCACATATGGCGGTCCTCTACTTCTTACTGCACTCCTTCCCTCCATTTGACCCGTTCATTTGTAAAGCCAGATGATTGTGTTGGCGACTCTCTCTCCTCTTTATATTTATAGGCAGCCCACTATCTGCATGAAGAAGCTGCTAGGTACCCCCGGAAAATCCATTACCATAATCCTCCTGACCTGGCCATGGAGGCCCTTGAGGTAAACTACATGTTGCCTGTAGTTTCTAGTTGTGTCACATTGATTGTGTTACGTTGGATAACTGTCTGAAGGCATTCACATTTAAACACATTGTGCACAAGACATTTGTTTTCTGACTTCTTTCTTCTAGTTGCATTTCCGTCTCTGCGCCACCACTCTAAAACTATTAGAGGGGAATGTGCCGGATCTGGAACACGAGCTCTTGTTCGGTATGCTGGTCGAAGCCGCTATCGGGCCATTTGCCAGGGGGGAAGAGAAGAGCATGCCGAGCATGCCTAGGTCCCTTGAAAAGTAAGCTACAGAGATATAATCCAGCAGGAATTACGAAAAACACATTCAATCTCACGGCTGAACATTCATCCTCAACGTTGTTCTTGATTCATTGCAGGGAGAAACCCCCCTCCATGACAGATGAAGACTTTAATTGCTCGTCAGTTTGCATAAGAAACGTCCTCGGCTCCTCCCATCTGTCGGCTGCCACCCCAGGTCTGACATCCCCGCCTTACGTGGCCACGCCGTTTGACCACGATTACGCCAAACGCAAAACTCTCCGACGGCAGCAGTGGCAGCAGCAGCGGAATGAGGAGCAGCAGGCTGATGGTACAGTCCCAGTCCTAGACACTGTCTCTGGGGTTGGGCTCTTTGCCTTTTCTGCACTGGGACAGGAAGCCCACTGGGGAGTGCGCAGATTGCTAATCACCATGCTTAATGGCTTTGGTTTCAGTTACAATGATCCCCATGCACCGGGTGATTGGGATGTGGTGAAATGGGCAATATGGCTTCTGATTATTTGACTGATTTGCTATGCCTGACAAAGCAAAAACAAATAGATTTGAAGTGTGTGTGTGTGTGTGTGTGTGTGTGTGTGTGTGTGTGTGTGTGTG